CACCAGCAAATTTTTCAATATTTAATTTAGGTAACTTTACTGAAGCACTACTTGTAACAACATTATTACCATTCAGAGTACTACTAATACCATTACTAGTTGTAATTATACTTCTTTCAACAACTTCATTACTGTTAATTTTCTTTACTTTACTAACAATCTTAGCTTTATTCGTTATCATATTCTTTTTCATCAATTATGAGAGCATCGATCTTTGAGTCAAGAGTTTTAAGTTTCTCATGGTATTCAATTAACAATTCATATGATGAATTTAAATCTTCTAGATGTTCTTTACTTAATTCTTCCGATAATAATTTCTCAAGTTTATTTAGAAGTGTAGTAACTTTACTACGTACAATAGCACGTTTCTTTTTCACTTTTGCTAAATCATCCATCATGCTTCGTTTTCAAAGATCGATACCAAGAACAAATAAATCAAATTTCTTACCTTTCAAAAGGTAATTCCCCTTTTCGCGGGTTTCAGACCCAAAAAATGTATGTCTCTCTTCATGAGTCATAAATTCAAAGATCGTTTCGTTTCAGGAGTCAAGGTTGGGAGAGCATTAGAATTTCAAATCAAAACTTCAAGATTTCACAGAACATAGAAATAACATTTATTAACGATAAAACTTATATATATTACTTCCGCCTATAGCGGCCATAAAAACATAATCAAGTATCAAAAGGTATAAGACATGCGTCATTCTTTCTGTTCAAGCGTCAAGTGAAGATATTTTTCATAGGCATGCAGCAAGAGCACCACCTATCTACTGAAAGACAAAACACCATGTATATTACATATTTCTTCTGAATGTTCATATTACTAAAGAATTTAAATTAGCACTTTTTCTATACATTCTAAATGCATTTAATGCTTTTTAGAATAACAGAAATCCTTAATTAAATCCAAAAATTCTAAAATGAAAAGGAAACATGTTGAAGAAAGAAACTGAATGTTAACTTCCTTTTGTAGTTAAATTAATCACTCGTAAAATGATTGTAAAAGACAAACATTTATTTGAAGATAAATCTTAATAACCTATACGTAACGTATTCGTAAACGTACATAACATAACAAACGTACTTACTGCATCGTACCATTAAACATTTGAAGCGTACATCATCTGAAAGTATATTTTTAAAATTATATATAGAACGACATCCAGAAATTAGCTGTTGCCATTTTCTCAATAGATATTTTGTCTAATAACAATTAAATAATTTACAATCGTTCTTACATGAATACATAAAGAAAATTATTCTTCAAAGATATGTGCAATTATTATTATGTAAATTATCCAATTGTTTATGATTTCAGCCTTTACTATAATTTCCTATTTCTGTTTCCTCATATGACAGAGTTACTGAGCCAGATTAAATTTAAATTGAATTGTATAATCTTTGACCACATTTTTAGTTTGAATTTGACTATTTTTGTTTAATTACGTCACCGTGAGCTGTAATTGATTTTGTTAGCGTCAGAACATGCCTTTATGTTCTAAGTTCTTTTTAAGAGACTTATTTAAACCTTTGTCTGATATTATAGTTACTTTCAGACATAGTGATAATTTGCTTTGTTGGGGGTTTTGGACTATTTAACTTTTACCAGATCATGTAAACTCTCATAGGTACATTGTGAAGAGGTTGACAAGTTAGGAGATAAAGCATGCAGAAACTAAAACAAAACATGCGAGCATTGGCTTAAACATGCGAGCATTGGCTTATATATTGAGACAAATCTTTAATTGTTAGAAAAGATGCTTAAAGAGAAGGAAATCGATATAAACTAGCCAAAATGTCTGGGAAAACTTCAAATTAAAATGACGGATAAATATTTTGTTGAGTGTTGTTGTTACAGAACATAAATGTTTTGTAGCTTTTAATGTGTAATTATCGTAATATCGTTTAAGAATCAATGTCATAAATTACATGTATTTTAAACTGTGAAATTTGATTAGATTTTGCTTTTAATAGGGCTTTTTTAACAATATTGTTAAAAAATAAAATTTAAAATTGGCCATGTAAATCCATAATGATTAAGGTAATCTAACTAATTTAATTATTTATAACTAACTGCTTACCCTTAAAAAGTATCTCTACATATTAAAGCAATTGCCTTTCATTAATACCACTGAGGTCACAAGATAAAACACAAAAGTGTAAACATTCAAGTAAAACTTATTCTTTGTATCTAGTGAGACTTAATACAAAACAACTTATCACCTCTGGTGCTCTAATGGCTTACTGGAACCTTAAAGTATATTAACTGGGTTACAACCCCTGGAACTCTACACGAAACTACAACTCTAACTGCATCAAACAGAGCCTGGCTAACTTTCAGCACTTGCCAACCATGCCTACATCAGGCCTTTCAGGTTAGTTCTAATCAGCAGGTCTCTTTCTAGACAAGCAGCAGCGGTGACAACATTCAGTCTTTTGTTATGAATCATGCTGATTATGATCTTACTTCTCATTTTAAACTATGCTGTTTGACATAAAAATCTACCTGCTACTTACTAACCTCTAGACACACCAAATATGTGACAAAATGAGACATGAAAAAATCAATATAAAGCTAACTGTTAGTAAAACGTAAATGTCACTTATCTGCTTTCAAATATGTCCAGCTATTATAAGTGTAATATTTAAATGCTACTTGATAAATTGCATAAAGTTTATTTTATTCTCAAACATATTAATCATTATGTTAATTAATTCATATTTAGCAATAATGCATACTATTTAGGGATCTATTTTATTTTTAGGATGATATTACAAAAGTGAAATTCGGGTACAGATAATATTTTTATTTGAATTTGGGGAAAACTTTTTTATCTACAGGGCAGGGAACTGTATATCAAAAATTCTAGATATGCTCATTTTAAAATTATTTTGCGACATAGCTATTAAACTTAATTTTATGGTTTAAGTGCAAAGATAATAAATGAAGGTAGCACACAAAATGTTAAAAAAACGCCCCTTTGGACGTAATTTAAAATCTGAAAACTTCAGATTTTTTTTTTTTTTGTGTTATTTTTAAAATATAGTAAAAATATTACGCAGTTGTTCTAACAACTTGAATGAAAATAATATAATCTGAATAAAGTTATATGTGCTGTTCTAAAAAGCATCAGCGGTCTGTTTAAGGAGACTTGCTGAATATGTGTCAGTAATAACTTCTTCTGCTGCTGATTAATTTATTTGTCAGACTAACAGGTGTCAATCAAATATTTTTTGGGAATTTTATGATTTATAATAACTTTCACACAAACAAAATTATTGTTGATTTACTGTCATTACTAGTAATTATGATGAAGCCTCTCATTGTAAAGTGTATAATTTTTCTCCCAATATCATTGTACTTTGTATAATTTCTTCTCTATAACATATATAATAACAGGCTAATTGCCATATCTTGCACATCTTACTTAAAACAATTTCAGTTTCAGTCAAAATTTGCCATTGAATTTAAAAAAATTAAGCAAAATAAGAAAAGTTTAGAAAAGATACTGTTTTGATTAATTATTGGAAAAGTTAAACAACAAGAATCAGCATAATGTTTGTAAATTTTGCAGGACTAGTTTCGATGGTATAAATACAGAACCCTCTTGTTCAGCTGCCTAAATGCAAATGAACGAGATAGAATATGGTGATAAGATAAGAATGACTGGATAGCTACTGGCACCGTCTATTTATAAAACACAAAAACTGAAACATAATTTCCTTAAAGGCTGAGGATAAAGATGGATTGGAGTTAATGTCGTTAACAAGAACAGAAAGATTTTTTTAAAGTGAAATAGCTCTAGAAAATCTAATTCACCAATGGAATATGTTTTTTGAATAATTTTGGCTGAAGAAAAATGGAAACTCGAAATTTTAAGGCTATCTTAGTTTGATCAACATAAATTAAACCACATTTGTAAGAAATTCCGTAAATACCCCAGAATTTCATATCCGAAATGGGTCCTTAAGTATAGAACTGTGAATTTTATTGATAGAAGGAAAAATTACCTGAAAGTTAAATTTCTGTAAAATGCATGCAGATTTATAGCTAATCGATGGAAAGAAAGGAAGGACAACAAAATCTTTATAGCCTCCTAAAGTGAGAGGGTGCCTTTTGATATGTTAGGGTAAGAATTTTTTAACCGCTTGGTTAGTAATGGTTGAATAATATTGGGCTTTTCATCCAACATTATTAACCAAGTCGTCAAAAAATTCTCATCTCTATGCATTATTTTAATCTTAATTAATATTTTAAAATTTACTGTTGAATAACATTTTCAGTAATATCAATTTTTAATCGAAATTCTTTATTAAATATATGCCAGCTTTTGAAAATTTTTTTTCATAAAATGTGTTTTTATAATAAATAGATAATCTTAAAAAAATTAAATTTGCATCTGAAATTTTTTCAAAGTTAAACTTCTTAAATTTATAGAGATGACTTTTTTTAATTACTTAAATAAATCAAGAGAAATCATTGAAATAAATCAAGAGAAGTGCATTTATTGTTATAAAATATTTTATCCAACAATCCAGTTATATAAATGATTTATTAACTGTTATAAAATATAATTATTAATGCATGAAGCCTGTCAGGTATACATTAGGTATTTTACAAATTAATGATTTGTATTTTTTAGTATATATTTTGATAAAGATAAAAGAGACTGACATAAGATCATGTAAATGTGCCATTTGTATATTGTTAATATACAAATGGCGCATTTACATGATTAATATACAAATGGCACATTTACATGATTTACATGGAAAAGTATCATGCCAAAACCAAAATGCTAGGTTATAAAGGCTTTAATTAATAATTTGTTATAAATAATTAATGTTCATGGGTATAACCTGAACAATTTATAATCATGCATAAATAAGTGTGTGCTTATTTATTTATTTTTAAAATTTATTGACAAAATTTGCATGCTTTTATGTTAACAGATTTAGTGTGTATTTGATGTTAAAGTTTAGAAACTGTTTTGTTGTAGGGCAGAACAGCTTATGTTTCTCAACAACCTTGGATTCAAAATTCTACCTTGCAAAATAATATTTTATTTTCTAAACCCTTGGATAAGGAGGAATATAAAAATGTAATAGATGCTTGTGGATTGACACCAGATTTGTCTATTTTACCAGGAGGTGACCAAACTGAAATTGGAGAAAAGGTGATTACAATTTTGTCATGTTTTTCAGATTATAAAATGCATTTTTGTTTAGAAATTTGACTAAACTGTGTTATATCTTATGGTAAAAAATATGAATATAATTACAAAATGTTTAAGTTATTGTCATTGCAGAACATAATTTAATCTCTATTTAAGCAGTCAAGATATTTCAGAAGTCAAACAACAAAAATCAGCATTATACCTATAGGTATAACGCTGATTTTTGTTGTTTGACTTCTGAATTAGTATTTATTCGGCGTGTTATTGTGTCTTAGTCAAGATATTTGTTTGCAGGAAATAGTTTAGCCTGTGTCAAATATACTGAATTTACAATGAACAAGATAATTGAATGAGTGAGTAAATATTGTTAATAAAATGTAATTTACAGTATGGCAATTAAAGTATCTGCTTCTTCATTGTTCATAGGCTTCGATTAAGAATTACAGAATTTTGTCAGTTAAATTAAGTACTTTATATTATATAGATTATATCAGTGAGGTATTTGTCTACTACAGTGATTAATCTGAGCTTTAAAAACTTATGATAATTCCTTATAATGCTGTGGACTACACTTACCTCTCTATTTGAACAGGAATTTTCTATTTTTGTAAGTTTCTGATTTTTAAAAGCGCAACTCAGTTAAAGAAGTTCTGAATGGGCAAAAAAGGGGGAATTAATTCTTTTTTTTTTTTCTTTTTCTTTATTATATTTTTTTTTTATTATCTGAATAACAATGTCTGCATGTTTTCAATAAATAATGGCCTGTTAATAACAGGCTTGTGAAGGATGTTCTATTATGGTTAGGATCAATACTTTTTGTTTTATTTTAGTAAAACAGTTATTCTGTGGAAAGACATGTTGCTGTCATAGCTTCCTGAAATACGTAATGAAATTTTGTGAATTTGCTTATGTAGTGTGTCATAACTAACACATATTTTCTTTTTTGACAGATTATTATATTCTGTTTAACTTGTTTGTTGTTATATTAAAAGTCTACATGAAATTACTTTTTGTAACTGTATAATAAAATCATCGAGCATTTGATGGAACTGTGAGCATTCAGAAGAATTTATCTGGAATTTAGACAAAAGTATAACTTATGCTAAATGCAGTTGTTTCCATAGAGTATTACTGATAGTAATCATTTACATTTAGTTTCTTTCATCTGTACTTGTGCTATTTCAAAAGTTTTATAAAACATTGTTTAATGAATTCATGATTTAATCATTAAATTTTGCATTTCCTCCCTAAAATGCCTTTTATTAATAAAGTCTTTAATCCGAACGTCCATAATCCGGACCTCAAAGCTACAAACTTTCTTCGCATGCGTAAATGCATCATGTTTAAAGGTATTATGCGCATAATACATTTATGCATGCGTGTTTAATGTATAATGGATGGTATAAACTAAACTAAAATTATCTAATTATCTATTTCAGTTAATGTTGCAGATTGCGTTGTTCCTTAATCTTCTAATTGGATCCAGCTTATTATTTTTTGCAGACTATTAGAGCATTTTTATAAAAAGTAAGCTTGAACTTTCGATTATGTTTTAATTCTGGAGCTGCCAAAGAATCTACAAAGCGAAAGCATGTTTTGATGTCCATTAAACAAAAAGTGGAATTTCTGCAAAAAATGGATAAAGGCATGAAGAAAGTGACAGAGAGGTGATTTGTTTCTCTTACGATTCCGAAATCTGTTTATCAATTTCACGCTGCTATGTGGGGGGGGAGTAACGTTGCGGCATGCAATGAACTGGAAGTTGATCTGTCAGCACTATCCTCATCTTCAGGGCAGATGTTTTTATTTTATTCAGCTTATAATTTCTTACTAAATGTAGTGTTTTTCATCTCGATGTACTCCGATTTGATTTAAATCAATTTCCTCGTCATTATAAATATCACGAATATGCATCAAATAGTTTTCTGGTTGCAATTTTCTAATTTCGACTATGCATAATGTATGCTTTGAAATGTGTGTGTAATGTATGCGCGCATTGAAAGAAATGTTTAATAAAGTAAACAAATAAATATTAAGCTTTTTTTAAAATTTTTGATACCCTTTAGATCATAATTGCTCTTTATTTCATAAATTATGGTTTCATATTTTTAATTGTATAATTTCTGCATGCAGTCTTTAAATTGATGATCTATAATCGTGAAAAACCCGTAATCTGGAATCGCCGAAGTCCCAACGAGTCCGGATTAAAGACTTTGTATTGTAGTCTATTTGTTCTAGTTTCTTCACTGTACTTTTGTGAAAAGTTCAATTTGTTTAAGATCGTCCTGTATTTATTTTTTGTCTAAGAAGTTACTGTGCTTACTCTGTCTGTAATGAACTCAGTACCTCTGATAAATCTAATTTTCAATAAATCTTCTTAAATATTTTATATCATATTTTTTATTTTTTCAATATATGGTATCAGGTTTCACTTACTTAAAAAATTATTAATATTTGCCGAGAATAATTTTTATTGCTGATGAAATTCACTTTAACTTAAAATACATCTAATTCTTTTATGTATTTTAATCATCACTATTATAACATTGAGTTTTACTGTTTATCTACCTTTTTATTTGTGTGAGTGATAGTTGATGTTAAAAGTCCCTTTGTGTTACAAAGTGATCTTTCATATTTAAGAACTAATTCAGAATTTCTCATGGCTTTCATGAATGTAAGTAAAGTTGGTCTGAAATCTTATGAAGTCCTTATATGTATTATTCATAGGTTTGAAGACTAAAACTTTCCAATTGAGGGATACTTAAGTTATGCTCAGATTTTGAAAATAACAACAATAATAAATATTTTTAAAAAATTTAAATAACATTTTTTAAGACACAATAACACGCCGAATAAATACTGATTCAGAAGTCAAACAACAAAAATCAGCGTTAATTCACAAAATTTTCACAGGACTAGTTTCGATGGTTTTACCGAACCATCATCTTCAGCTGCAAAACCGCAAATGAACAAGATAGGAAATAATGTTTAGATAAGATAAGAAAGCCTGGACAAGAATAAGCAAGTGGCGCCATCTGTTGGCGAAACCAGAACTAAAACATAATTTCTCTAAAAGCCGAAGGCAAATTTGGATTGGAATTAGGATCGTTAACTAGAACAGAAAGATTTTTATGAATGTGAAATGCCTCTAGAAAATCCAGTTCTCCAATGGAAGATGTTTTTTGAATAATTTTGGCAGCAGAAAAATTGAAAGTGTGATTTTCGGACCAACAATGTTGAGCAACAGAAGACTTCTGTGTTTCCTTTTTTCTAACATATGCCTCATGTTCTTTGACGCGAAATTTTAAGGCTCTCTTAGTTTGGCCAATGTAAATTAAACCGCACTGGCAAGGAATCCTATAAATACCCCAGGAATTCATATCCGGAATGGGGTCCTTGAGTATAGAAGTTGGAATTTTATTGATGGGAGAGTAAACAACCCGAAAGTTAAATTTCTGCAAAATATGTGCAACTTTATAGCTAATTGATGGAAAGAAGGGAATGACAACAGAATTTTTATAATCTCCTAAAATAAGAGTGTGGCTTTTAGTGTGTTGAGATGAGAATTTTTTAACTGCTTGATTAATAATGTTGGGTGAAAAGCCCCTGTCAATAGCTATTGCTTTTAAATAATTTAGTTCTTCATCAAGGGCTAGTTTGGAGGAGCAAACTTGAAGAGCACGGAAAACATAGGAATAAAATGAAGCTAACTTTTGTTTAGTCGGATGACATGATTTAAAGTGTGGTGGAAGGCAAACCGATGAAGGTTTACGGTAAACTGTAGTACTGAAGTTGGATGTGTTACGTGTGACCAGAATGTCGAGAAACGGAAGAGAATTGCAAGTCTCAAGTTCAAAAGTGAACTGAATAGCAGGATCAATAGAATTCATTGTTGAAAGAACTCTATTTAAATCATCTTTATTACCTTCAAACAGGGTAAAAGTATCGTCTACGTAGCGGAACCATGCCGGGAAGTTTAAAGTTTCAAACAATTTTGATTCATAATAATGCATGTAGATATCAGCCAGGATGGGACTGAGGGGGGGCTTCCCATGGCTAATCCCTCAGTTTGCTTGTAATATTTATTTTGGAAAACAAAATGTGTTTGTTTCAAACAGAGTTGAGTGAGAGAAATTAGCTCATCAATTTCGATGCAAGAGAAATGAAATTCGCGAAGTCTGGTTTCTAGACATCTTAATGCACCCTCCACTGGGACATTGGTGAATAATGATTTTACATCAAAAGAAACCATGAGTAAATTACGAGGAGAAATGTTTTTAAAATTTTTTTAACCTTTTTTACAAACTCTATTGAATTTTTTATGGTGTAAATGTTATTGTCTAATAGAGTGGAAAATCTAGAAACTAAATATTTAGCTAATGGATACGAGGCAGTACCTAAATTTGATACAATAGGCGGAAAGGAATACCACTTTTATGAATTTTGGGAAGAGCATATAATCTGGCACAATTCGCAACAGATGGGATAAGCGAATGTTTTAAGTTGCTTGAAATGATTTGCGAAGATTTGATCGCAGTTTTTATTTTGGATAAGTCCGAAGGTGAAGGATCTTTAGGGATCGGATTATATGGTCCTTCGTTTAAGAGTTTAGTGACACCATCGATGTAAGTGTTCTTATCCATGACGACTATCTGGCCACCTTTGTCGGCCTTTGAAATGACAATATCCGGGTTAGAATGAATCTCGCGCATTGTAGCTCTTTCTCTCGCAGTTAGATTTGGTTTCAAAGGTTTATTATTGAATTTCACATTATGAGCGATAAGATGCCTAATCATTTCTTTCTGTGAATCTGAAAAAAAAAGCTTTCAAGTTCAGTAAAGTTTCAGATTCACAGAAAGAAATGATTAGGCATCTTATCGCTCATAATGTGAAATTCAATAATAAACCTTTGAAACCAAATCTAACTGCGAGAGAAAGAGCTACAATGCGCGAAATTCATTCTAACCCGGATATTATCATTTCAAAGGCCGACAAAGGTGGCCAGATAGTCGTCATGGATAAGAACACTTACATCGATGGTGTCACTAAACTCTTAAACG